AAGCTCCATTGACTGCTGTATAAACTGTGTTGCATGTAACAAGTTGCAACATTTTGTTTGCAACAAATGTTGCATAGTGTATGTTGGGCTTAATTAAAGAGCAGCAAATGCACAATTTTTGAATTTTTTAATGCCTGAGCTCAATTTTCGAACCGTGCAAAGTTCAGGTTCTGACATTGATATAGAGACTTATATTTTGCAGTCTCTGCTGATAGTGATACTTTAAATAGTTTTTCAGACTTACTAATTTTCATTTTTATTGTAGTTAGTGAGAATAATAGGGCAGAATAAAAGAATAATATAGCAAGGCTGCAAAAGTCGTGGCAGGCTGGCAGCCATTTTGTTTGGGGGTGAATCCTACTTAGTAACGCTACCGCATTACTAATAGGCAAATTTTTGAGAATTTCTGAATAGAATTATAGGTAAAAAACTTAGCATAATTGGGACACCCCTATGTGTAGCCCTACGCATGCAGTGTTGTGCAGCAGGCCACAGAATTAGTCTAATGCAATTATTTGTGTTAATTAAGTCTTGTATGGTAATAATTAAGTTACTTTCATGCATGTTATTGTAGTTTCTTTTATCTGCATCGCTAAAACAACATGATAATTTGTAGTAAAACTTGTGGGTATTGTGTTATTATTAGGAAAGGAAGTTCTGTTATGTAGTACAGGAAAGGCATTATCTACTAGCAAAATCATTAATAACAGTAATTATGTGTTTTGATACTACAAATAGCACTCAGTAGCCTATTTCAATGTCCAAAGTAAGTACCTACACACTCTGATAGCTGATAATCATACTGACACTCATAAATGGTCAATTACCTTCAATTTACTTTGTTAATGACCATGAGCTATAGAGAAGTATAGTTTAACTTGTAAACAAGCAGGCTATCAACATCAAAGTCTTATTAACATTAATTATCTCAAATATTTTTGTACAGCAGCAAAATAATATAGATACTAGTCAAAGTGTAGAACATAATATTAGATGCTAACTATGCAATAATAGTAGGATTATATAAAGATGTAATGTATAACAGTAATAACACTAGCTGCATGACTCAATGACAAAGTCTATAAAAATTTTATAACAACTATAGTCTTTTTGTAGCAAAAAATTAATGTTATTGCAGCAATATTGTGTGTGTATATGAAGTTATATTTCTGAGGCAATAGTTTCATATACACCTTCATTCCCTTGTCCACCTGACATGTTTTCATAACCACCATCCCCCTCCTCACATATCACAGTTGTTACTTGTGGTGTAATGACAGAATAGGTAGCATCAACTGCAACGGTGTCATAGCATTGAGATAAATCCTCCTTGCCATCGTGTTCCTTGCTATG